ACATACATGCAGGCAATACACTCATATGCATAAAATAAAAATAATAAATAAAGAGCTGGGTGTGGTGGTGCACACCTTTAATCCTAGCACTCAGAAGGCAGAGTCAAGCTCAGTGAGCCTGAAGCCACAGCCTGGTTTACATGGCAAGTTCCAAGCCTGCTGGGGCCACAGGGAAGAGCTTCTCAAAAAAAAATTCATATCTCTACCCTAAAGATTCCATTTCCAGATATCTATTCTACAGAAATACATTGGGTTACAGGGAGGAAACACCTTTTCTCCTATATTGACCTCAAAATATGGGCAAAGAAGGACTTTAATGTAGTTAAATGTATTCATATTTGAAGAAAATATACTCACAGTTTCTCAGTCCATTGATGTGCTTTCCATACCTTTTTGTCAATATAAGAAATATCATCGATATGCTTTCCATACCTTCTTGTCAATATAAGAAATATCATTTCCTTGGAAATTTCTGTAAGAAATATGGTTCATACACTTGAATAAGTTCAGAAAATGGGCAGAACCCATAAAAGAAGCATTGAAACTTCCTTCGGGTATTCAAATGCAGAAAACAGAAACTACTGACTTTCTGATTTTCAGAGTTTGTCAGCCAAATGTGCACAATGAATAAACAGTGTGAGGCCACTGGCACAAACAGTGAGGCATTTCCTCATAATTTTAATTTTCTAGCTGTCCATTCCTTGGATAAAGATGCCAGTTAATTACTAAGTGTTTTTAAATCCTTTTACAAATCAGTGAGAAAATGATCAATAATTCAAAAGGAAAAATGAGTAAATACTTATCATTATTAGCCATTAAGAAACCCTGTGACAGGTAACACCAAAGCTTTGCCTAAGTGCTCTGCTGAAACATCTCCAGGTAATGGAAGGATGTGGAATTAGTTCCACAATTAGAAATTAGTGCTGACATGGAAAAGAGATCTGAGACATGCCACACAGGGAGAAAACACAACTCAGTCAAAGAATAAAATATTTTAAAAATACCAATTAAATTGGAAGGACACATACTAAAATGCAAGCGTGGTTTATCTTATGCGTGGTAGGGCAGAGAGAAAAAGGTGATAAGCTGTGAGGGGTGAATTTTACAGTTTATCCTACAAACACTCTCTTTTTTTTAACCTTGCATTTGTGCATGTGTGTCTACACATGTGCATATGTACACGTGTGTGTGTGAATATAAAGGCCTGAGTTTGATGTCAGGAATCATCCTTGACCGCTCCTTCCACTTTATTCATTGAGGCAGGGTCTCTTAATTAAGCCCAGATCTTAGTGATATGGCTAGTCTTGCAATCCTTGCTCATCTTTGCTCTTGGCTTTCTATGTATTAGATTCCACACCAGGCACCCTCTGTCTACCTTTTTTTTTTTTTTCATTGCTAGGAATGGAATCCAGGACATTGCAGTGCTAATCAAGTACTCTACCACTGAGCTGCATTCTTAAGCTCTTGGTGATTTTGAGACAGGATCCCACTATGTATAGTCCAGGCTGGCTTGAAATTATGATTCTCATTCTTTAATTTCCAAGTACTGGGATTGTCAAAAAACACCTCCACACTGTGCTTCCATGATTTTTTTTCAAGTGGGAGTGTATCCATGAATGGCACATGCTTAAGAGAAGCTGTTAAAAACCTTATTTATATTTAGTTTCAACTCTGTGGGATAACTTTCAATCTTTACCTTTAATTCTGTCTCAATAAAGTCTTTTTTGGTCTGTACTTTTCTTTGTTTATGGGGAAGAACTAAGTCTGCTCACCTGCCTGGTGGACATCACTCAACCACCAGTCTTCTGATTTTTATGCTCATCAATAAAAATACCTAAAACTGAAATCTTCCTCAGGTTGCTCCCCTGCCTGACTGCTGTGTCCACCTGGTCCACCATCATCTCATCTTCATCAAGGACAGAAGCATTGGATTCATCTTCCATTTTCCTCTTTTTGGCACACTCCAGTCCCCAACTCCTTAGTCAGTCACTAAACTCTGTCTTCTCTCCCTCAAGGGATTGAGGTTTTTCTTCCCATTCTCATCTTGGTCACAGTGACTTAGCCCTTACTCATCTTATTCCTAAATTTTTCTTGCTCTTTCTACATAGTTTCCAAAAGCAAGCTTTCCCCTCTAGATCACTCCATACATAGATTCTAAAATCATCTTAGATCTGAGTGTGGTGGCACGTGCTTTTAGTTCTAGGACTTGAGGGGCTGAAGCAGGATGACTGTGAACTCAAGGCCAACCTGTACAACACACATGTCCTCCCATTTTAATCATTTTTCTGTCTTTCTTGGAAATTTATAATGTTTCTCCATATCTCACTGTGCGACTTTCAAAGCACTAGACTTAGTATTCAGGGCATCTCATAATGCCTTTCACTGCTTTCTAATTCAATTCGTTCCTGGAAGACTAGCCTACTAAATCCTTGTCATTCCTGTAGCCCTGCCTTTGCCTACACTGTATTTCCTGGTTTTATTTTAAAGATTACAGGTCCCCTTTGAGCCACAGCTAGTTTTAATTTAATGTTTCTTTACTTTTCATTTATCATTTTCATGTTCTGGAGGCAATGCCATATGTAAGTGGCTCCCATGCTTCTTAGCCCTGAGTAGTACACAAAATGCATCCAAATACATAGAAAACCAAAAACAAAGATGAGTTCTGGACATAACTGAGATATTGCATAATATTGATAGCTAACATTCATATATGTGCTAGTGCCAAGATAAATATTACATGTATCTAAATCTCCTAACAGTCCTGTGAAATAGTATCTGTCATAATCCTCATTATACAGGTGAGGGAATTAACTCACAACTAAATACTTTTCCCAAGGTTGCAGAGTTACCACCTGAAAGATCTGGGTTTGAACCCTGGGAGTCCAGCTCCAGAGTTTACCCTAACTGCTTTGTTGCATCCTCACTAATGAGTCATAGGGTGGGGGAAAGGTTAAACAATGATATAATGGAGCTAAATAAAAATAGATATGGAAAAAAGGAAAAGTTCATCACAAATAAAACATTGGAGAGGGGTACTGTAGTAAAGAGATTGAGGACAGGAAAAAGTTGATAAGCAAAAGTAAGAGCAGAAAGTCTATGCAGGTGATGGGAAAGGCCCAGTAGGGAGTTGAGGAAAAGTTTGCTATGTCAGGCAGAATGTAGAACAGAAAGAAGAAAAAGTGATTCTTACAAGACGGTGAAGGTGCCATTGTAGGTGCCGGGTTCTGGCACAGGCACTTGGAGGAGCCGCTGCGCTGGGCTGAGATCAATACAAAACAGTGTCCCATTTTGGCAGGTACAGAGTGCACACGTGTTGGTAGTCATGGAGGCATTTTGTTCCACAGTCAAATATTTTTCTGTATTAGAATTTTCAGAATATGGAGTTATGGTACGTTTCAAATCTAAAGGTTTAACTGTGACCTCAGTTGGGTTTGAATGCTCAATGTGAACCTGGGGTGGAAGTGTCACCTGCTTTGGAAGCGGAGCTGTACTCTCGTCATCAGAGATGTAGAAATGTGCAGCGGCTCTAGACGGCTCTGAGACTATAGTGAGCTCCGGGTCCAAAGGCTGACATGAGATCCGGGGTGATGTTGGATACTTACGTTGATCCTGATTTGGTGTAGCAAATGTCACCTCTTGATACACTGGGGCTTCAGTCACAATTTTTTCAGGTAATTCTATATGAAGAGTTGTTGTTTCCTGCACAGTCTGAGACAGTTCTCCCACAGAAGTAGGTTGTGTAGTTACAGTAAGTTCCAGATCCACAGTTTAAACTGGGACTTCTGGTGGGTTTGGATGATGAACATGAACATGGTGTGGAAGTGCGACCTGAGTGTCCTTTGGGAGAGGAGCTGGAATCTTCTTTGGGGTTGTAGAATGGTGAACCTCTGAAGTATGTTCTGGATTCATGGTGAGCTCCAGGTCCAAAGGTTGGCATGTAATGCTGTGTGATACTGTAGGATGGTGAGGGTCTGGAGTAGGTTCTGGAGTTATGGTGAGTTCCAGGTCCAAAGGCTGATGTGTAATAGTGGATGATGTTGTACAATGGTGAGTCTCTGGAGTAGGTTCTGGAGTAATGGTGAGTTCCAGGTCCAAAGGCTGATATGTAATGCTGGTGATGTAGGATGGTGAGTCTCTGGAGTAGGTTCTGGAGTTATGGTGAGTTCCAGGTCCAATATTCTAGATCTTCAGGTGAAAGAAATGTGCTGTCTACCATAGAAGGCTCACCTGAGCTCCCCTGCTAAATTGGAGAAGGTTCCTCAGGATGCTCTTCAGGTTGGATTGGAACCCCTGAATAAGCTGGAGAATGCTGATCCTTTTCAGGGAGGGTTGACTGATATGTGTTGTAATGTCTTGCTGGTCTTTCGAAGGTTCACCCTCATTAATCACCTCTGAAGGTTTACCTGTGACATTGTGTGATACTGGAGGTTGAACTTGATCATGATCAAGAGGAGAAATTGTTACCTCAAGGTGTTCTGGAGGTTGAACTACCAATTCACTAGGGAGCTCTGGAGGCTGAGCTGGTTGTTCCTGCTGCGTTGAAGAAGGTTCAAACTCATCAGCATACTCTGAGTCTTCAACTGGGATTTCCAGCTGGCTCTCAAATTGGTTCTCTCCAGGAGACTTAGAAGCTGGCTGCTCCTGTCCTCTGAGAAAAGATCCCACCTCTTCAAAGGACCCCAGAGGATGCACTGGGGACCCTTGCTGGGTCAGAGATGATTCAATATCCTTGGTAGGCTGTGAAGTTATGGTAAGTGCCACATCCACAGGCCTAACTGTAATATTTGGTAAGTTATAATGATCTTGATTTTGATCTGCTCAGACTGTTACTTCATGGACATTCTCAAAAGGGAACTCTGGAGTTTGAAGTGGAGCCCCTTGCTCAGTTGGAGGCTTTATTACTTCAGGGTGCTCTTCAGGCTGAAATGAGGCTTCTGGCTGGTTTCCAGAACCTGATTCTACTTCCTCTGGAGACTCAGAAGGTTGAGTTGGCTGCTCTAGTTCACTAAATGATTCATCCTCCAAAAGAGGGCCTGGATGTTGAGATGGGATAACATCCTGCAGTGTTGGAAAAGACTCCACTTCCTCAGCATTGTCTTGAGGCTGAACTGGGAACTCCAGATAACTTTCAGAAGATTCAACTTCCTCAGGAGACTCAGAAAGTTTAACTGGCTGCTGCTGTTCACTGGGAGAAGGTTCAGAAGTTACTGTAAGTTCCACATCTGCAGGCTTAACTGTAATAGTGGGAAAAGTATAATGGTGAACTTGATCCTGACTGGGAGTTTGAACTGCTGTTGGAGTTTTGACTATATTCTGTATAGAGGAATCTGGAGCTGAAACTGAAGCCTCTTGCTCAGCGGGAGCACTGACTTCTTCAGGGAGCTTTGTAGGCAGAGCTGAAACTTCCAGCTGACGTCCAGAAGTTTCAAGGTCTTCAGGAAAATCTGAAGTCTGACCTGGGGCCTCTTGTGGAACTGATGAGAGTCCTACCTCCTCAGGACTCTCTGAAAGCTGGACTGGAGCCTGCTGCTGCTGATTCAAAATGGCTTTGGCCTCTTTTTCTGCCTCTGAAGTTACCATAATCTCAAGATCTGTGCGTTTCACTGTGACATTTGGTCAGTTTGAGTGCTCAGCTTCATTTCTATTTGGAAATGGATCATTTATCTCAGGATGCATTGATGCCTCAGAATCAAGTAGTTGATGTTGATCAGGGGGCTGTGGAAGATAGTCTAGAGTTTCTGACTGGGAATGATCTGGATGGTGAGTTTGGGTCTTCACCTGGAAGTGGGACGGTTCAAACTGCTCAGGGGGTTCTGGAGGCTCACCTATGTCTGCCTGGGATTGCAGAGGTACGCTCTCCGAATAAGCTTCATTCATACTTGAATCTTCAAAATCACCCTCCGAGATTTGTTTCTGAAGCTGAGTTTTTCCAACAACTACTTCAGCGAGTGGTCTGTGCTGAGTTAGATCTTTCTTCAGGTCCTGGGGTGAAACAATGAATTTTGTTGCTTTTGTACTCTGCTTGTCTAGTGATGGAACAAGTATTTCATACAACTGGTGATCTGTAGTCTGATCTAGACCGGCAGTACTTCTCAACTGTGAAGGCAGAACAGGAACCTGAATTTGATCTCCATTTAGCATTAAAATGTTCTCTGGCTGCTTCCCAGGCAGTGTTTTCTTCTTGTGCAGATCCTGATGTGAAACAGTGAATTTACCTGGCTCTGTGGACGACTCCGTAGTACTAGGATCCTGGTAAGCAAGTAAACTGTCAGCCAACTCCACAAGTGGTGTGGACATCTCTGAGGATGCAGAGGATCCCGGGTAATTGATGTCCCCTGCGTCTGTCCTGGATTTTCATGTATGGGGGTATTTCCATTGATTATCAGAAGGATGCCAAGACCAGAGCATGGTTGGTGTCTGGGGCTCTGAAGTCAATTGGACTGGGTTTCTGGGCCACTCCGAAGTGGGAGAAACCTGGGTCAGCAGCCATAAAAGCTGCCACATGAAGACAAGTCTTCATGTGCCAAAGTTCAGTAGAGACATGACATGCAGTAGGGACATGACATGCAGTAGGGACATGACATGCAGCGCTTTCCCAAGCTGATGGGAAACAAACTGAATGAAATCCCTTTGAGCTCAGGGAGTCAGGCCTGCCCCACCCCACCCTTTATTTATGACAGTTCACCTTTGTTACAAAATCATGACTAGGCTGGGTCCCAGTTGGATTCTGCTTGTTCCCTTGCCTGTAATCTTTTCCAGATGCCTGGCCTCTGTCCCTTTCTCAACTCTCCCGTTGAGACCTCTAAAGTCAAATTTAAAAGTTATTTTGGAGTGTTCGGGTCCTATTGCTTGCTTCTGTATTCTTCTTAATGCCTGGAGTAGACTGATTGGTGAATTGAGCACCAAGAAATACCTGATTGTTGGGTGACCCTGTTGCTAAGGTTGCAGTCCACCGTGTCCAGATAGCTCAAGGAGCTCGGCGCTTTATGGAGGACTCCCTTTCTCAGTGGGGGCTTCCGGCTCTCTGCCTGACCTTATCTGGAAAGTGCCTCCAAGCACAGATGCCTGGCCTTATTTGGAATATGACCTTGGCATAGTTGCCTCCTAAAAACTGTACCTAGGTTTTTTTCTTTATTACAATTAGGCATTGCACTATAGCCAGATGATAGGGTCCTCCTGCCACATTCAAATAAAGCACACTACGAGCACCTAGCATGTAAAACTTTGGCTGCTGCCTGCACCCTATATTTTTCCCTGACTCCCTCTGGACAAGCAAGCTGTCTCACTGAAACTGACTCCCAGAAGGTCTTTTCCATCGTACTCACTGGCTGTCCTGACCCTGTTCATTGCTTTTGCTCCCTTTGTTCTCATGGGCTGGTGGCCAACAGCCCACGAGGGGAGGGAGAGACCCACACCTGATGTTAGTTAGACTTTTATAAATAATCTTGAATTTATGGTACATTTAAAATTTTATTATTGGGTGGGGGGAACTGCCACAATGTGCATATAGAATTCAGAGGACAATTTTGGAAAGTTGGTTCTCCCCTTCCACATTTAAGAGGTTGCCAGGGGTGGAACTCTGGTCATCACGCTTGCATCATCAGTGCCTTTATTCACTGAGCCATCTTGTTCACCCTATTTATAAACCTAATCATATAATTCCATCTTTCATCAAGTTTTATCTCATAAACATTCTTTTAAACTGAGACCTTTTACAATGGGCTAATGGTTCTGGTTTTGTCTTCACTTTTTCTTCTGTGCATTTTGAAACACTCCTTATTTTAGAACAAAACTACAATCCTTTCTAGTCTGAAAGCATTTTCTTTTCTCTTTAACCTTCTTTATGAAAAAAAATAGATACATTTTTTGTCTTTTTGAGACAGGGTCCCCAGCTGTCCTGGAACTCACTATATAGACCAGGCTGGCCTTGAACTCACAGAGGTCTGCCTGCCTCTGCCTCCCAAGTGCTGGGATCAAAGGCATGCGCCACCACGCCCAGCCCCTACAAAAATATATTTTATAACTATGCCTTTTAATATCTCTTTTCTAATTACTTTCCGTTATATTTCTTTACAAATAAAATTTTTAAATTTATGTTTATGTACATGAGTGTTCTGCCTGAAGTATTTATTGTTGTTGTAGTTTTGTTTTGTTTTGTCCTTTGAGATAGGGTCTCTCTATGTAGTCTGGAACTTACTTTGTAAGCCAAACTAAAAAAGGATGATTTGCCTGAAATATTTAAGTGCACCCATGTCATGCAATGCCTGAAGAGGCCAGAAGAGGTCATCTGATTCCTTGGAACTAGTTACAGACAGCTGCGATACATCACGAGGGTGCTGGGAAACAAACCCAGGTCCTCTTCAAGAGCAGCAGTGAGTGCTCTTAACTGCTGAGCCACCTCTCCAGTCCCAAAGCATTTCATTTTTAATAAAAAAAATTTCATATTTTAATTAAATACAGGGATTTATGTCTGAAACATAGGCAAAACATATTATAGTCATGGAGACTCTTTATTTTCTCTCACCAGCAATTTAAATTAACAAATATCTGTTGGAGATTTCAGTCTCATTACAACAGGCACTTAGAAACTCCTTTTATTTCAAAGGATTTATTGGGACTGGAGAGATGGCACAGTGGTTAAGATCACTGGCTGCTCTTGCAGAGAGCACCAGCATAGCAGCTGACCACCATCCATAACTCCAGTTCCAGGGGTCTGATGCCCTCTTCTCACCTCCACGGGTATTGCACGACACAGGTGCACTTACACACATGCAGGCATATACAAGGGCCTATATTAAAGGCAGTATTGCTAGCTCCCTGTGACCCCTGTGAGGCAACAAGGAGTGGCAACCCCACAAGGAGGCATGAGTAAATGTACTTCCCATGCCCTGTACATACCTTTTGACACTATGCAAAATCACTGAGCTCTAGCAGTTTTGGGGGATGTAAGGTTGCTCTGACCCCTCACCACCTAGACCACCTTTGAGAGGTACCAGCCCTTGCACCTCACTGCAGCCTGGTGCCCATAACTGTCTCATAGACAAAGTACGTCCTCATCTCACCTTTGCCCTTTCCCAGGGAATAGTGTTAGTGCATCAGCTCTTAGCTTTTGAGGAACCCCACTCTGACACTATCTGATCAGGAGGCTCTGCCACAGATGGCACTGGGGAAACAATTGTCCACACATCCGTGTTTGGCCGGGCAGGCTCTCCAAGCCCACAGCTAACCTGTTCAGAATGGAGTCAGTTCTCACATCAAGTGCTCTTTTCTGCCATGTAAGTGTGCCAAGTGTGCCACATGGGGGCCCCAAAGCTCACCTGCCCACTCATGGTGCCCATCTTAGCTCTGTGAGAAGCATCAGAGGAGGGCTGTGTGAGAGCCAGGGAATGCAGTAACTAAAGAGTGTTGTTTTGTTTAGTTTTTAAATAGTAAATCAGTAGTTTTCTGAACTCACCACTGCTCCAGTAGCCTGAGGCATTCCAGCCATCAACTTGTCACACAAATTTCTTTGTTTAAAAACTTCTAGGATGTTGTCGGAATTCAGCAAAGCCCAGGTAAACTCTATGCCAAGCAGCAGACCAAGCCAAGAGACAAAGATCCCTAAACTCCAGACTTGGCTGTCCCTCCACAGCCTTGCTAACAGCACAGGCCTGCACTTTGAGGGACCTGCAGGTCTCCTTCCTGCCCAAACATCCCCAGGAACCTGAAATCCCACCCAAGCAGCAGCTGGGCACTGCCCAAGCTGTCCCTGCAGGGAACACTTCAGACCAGCAGCCTTCTAGTCCTGTGGGCAGCACAGCTGGCCAAGGGAGTGGCCAGCAGAAGGTCCTGGAGCATGGTGGAGTCAGACCAAAGCTTGTGGTTTCTTCTCCAACCAGTCTGGTGAGTGTGTGGGCTGTCCAGAGGGGTCTTAGGGAAAGGACCCAAAGCTGAAGTTGGATTTCTCCAGCTGGGGACCCAGAGTCATTCTGCCTTCTCATTAGCCTCCCTGTCCCTGAATGGGGCAGTGTTAACAGCATGGTAATGATGAGTAAGTATGTCTTGTTGTGTCAGTAGTAGAAATGAGCCAGGCACAGTGCTGCTGGCTTCCCACCTGTATTTCTAATCACAGCCACTCTGAAGAAAGTGAGTCCCATCTGTTACCACACTCTGCTTGTTTGTTTTGTTTTGCTTTTTGTCATTGTTAATTGTTATTTTTTTAAGACAGGATCTCACTATATAACCCAGACTGGCCTTAAACTCATGGTGTATTCCAGGCTGGCCTCTAACCTGTGATCTTGCAGTCCTGCTTCAGTCATGCACTGTGATTACAGGCATTCACCACAACACCAATATCTGTTTTTTGTTTGTTGTTGTTTTGTTTTGTTTTTTGTCTTTTTTGAGACAGGGTCTCCCTATAGCGCCAGCTGGCCTGGAACTTACTATGTAGAGCAGGCTGGCCTTGAACTCACAGAGATCCACCTGCCTTTGCCTCCCTCCCGAGTGCTGGGTGTAAAGGCATGCACCAGCACACCCAGCTCAATATCTGTTTTTAACCACCACCATTCACAGGATACACTTTGTCTCCCTGCGCCTTGATTTTTCCTTTTAGGAATTAAAATTAAATTTTTATAAAATATTGGTTTAGAAAATGCTCATTTTTCAACACGAACTGGTTATAAAGTGCATAGTCAAATATGGCAGTCACCAATCCATATGTGGCTATACTGGGCACTTAAAACGTGTCCTGTCCCCAGCTGAGTGTGGTTATACATGCCTGTAATCTCAGTACTCTGAGGGTGAAACAGGAAGAGCTTGGGTTTGTGGCTATATAGTGAGACCTTTATTCAAAAAAAAGAGAAAAAAAAAATACGACCAATCCAAATTGAGATGTGTTGGGTAAAATAAGCACTGGATTTTGACATTGTATGAAAGAAAGGATGTAAAATCTCTAAATAATTTTTTGTTATCTACATGTTAAAATGAAAACATTTTGAATATATTGGGATAAATATATTGGCTTCAAACTCACTGTGTAGCTGAGGATAATCTTGAACTCCTGAACCTGCTGCCCCCATCTCCCAAGTGCTGGGCTTACAGGTGTGTGCCACTACATTCACTGTGTTAAACTTTTAATTTGTATTTCAGGAGACTGAGGCAGGTGAATTTCTATGAGTTCAAGGCCAGTCTGGTCTACATAGTGAATTCCAGGCCAGCTGGGGCTACAGGGAGACCCTATCTCAAAAAGACAAAAGCATTTATTTGCATATTTATTTATTTGTGTGTGTGCACATGAGCGCATAGTGCACCTGTAGAAGTCAGAGTACACTCAGCAAGAGGTGGTTCTCTCCTTCCACTCTGTGGGTCACAGGGCTGGAATTCAAGTCGGCATCTTGATACCAAGGACTTTTACTCACTGAGTCATCTCACCAGCACAAGACATATTTAAAAAATTAATTTAATCTATTGTCTTTTTACTTTATTTTTTAATATTTTATTTATTATTTTTATTTTTATGTGTACGAGTGTATTGTGCCTGCATGTATGTGAGTACACCCATGTCGTGCAATGCCGTGGAGGTCAGAAGAGGGCGTCGGATTCCCCTGGAACTGGAGTTAAGGACAGTTCAGTACCTGTGTCATGCACTGCCCGAGGAAGTCAGAAAAGAGCATTGGATCCCCTGAAACTAGAGTTACTGAATGGTTGTTAGCTGCCA